CCCCACAATGTTGTTGTTATTTTTGTAAGCAAATCTTCAGAAAGTTATGAGGGCTGAATTAGGACAGAGGGTGTTTTATGGAAAAATATTTTTCCGATGTTCATTTTGACTTGAAAATACCTTTGACCAATGTATGCGTATAGCGGAAATTAATTAAGCATTTTAATTGTTTTTGTAATTAATTTGTATAATTTCGGCGATCAGTTTCTCATGAACAGCAAGTATTTCTAAACATGTATTTAATCCTTTCATTCATCATTTTCTCATTTTAACTAACTGTAAATTTGAAATTAGTCCAATAGACGGGCCGCAAAATGTCGCCCAATCCAGACAGCCAGATTACGATGTGAGGCTACATAGTAGTTCCACGGCTCCGTCCTGATAATGCGAAGCTCAGATTCGACAAGGTTACTAGTGCTAAATCCCACAGGCCTTGCCACTAAGGGGTAAACCGTATATTTTACTCACTCGCCATGTTCCACGGTGTGTAGTCATTTGCGTGACCCCCCATATTATATATCGTAAATTATGAGTTAGTCTAAACAGTTGGTAAATGCATAAATCGAATATAGGTTTTGAAGGTTGTTCGTTATAATGCTTAATTGATAACCCACGCAGTTGCAGGTTTTGATAAACGTTTTGTTAAACATATTCGTTCATTTGTAAAATTAGTTATATACACAATAGCATATAGCTGCAATTAGCAATGATTGGCTTGGACAGTAGACTATAGGCGTTGTTATGGCTACGTAAGTAGTACATAATCAGGTCAAATTTTAATAAGGAATGTGTGAAATGCATTACAGTATTTAACAGTTTAACATAAAACTCAAAACAGGTGATACCGTAAATTTAATTGCCATTAATCAGTAAACCCAGTAATGTGGGAAGTTATTTCCCTTGCACACATATGAAAAAAGAAAGTCGTATATATATACGAGAGGAAATGCAAGCCGTTGCAAAAGGAGACCCATCAAAACATATTATAGTGTTATGAATAAGACAACTAAGGCATAAGGCATTATACACAACACTCTTTCAATGCAATTCATTTTACTTGAATATATAATTAAGCCGAGTTCTAATTGAAACTTTTACAATTGAAAAATAAGTCATTGACATCCAATTGACATTGCAAAAGTTCACAAAAGTATACAAAACTGAAACAAATCGTTTTATCAAATCGTGAGATACGATTTATAACATACATGTACAGTTCAGCTTTGGAACAGCATTCTCGACAGAAAAATGGCTTCCAGTTGGCCATTTTGAATCAAATTGTATATGTATCAGGTTGGAATTAGAACTGTTCAACAAGTGTAACTACATGTCCGTTTTCAAAGTTCAGACACAAAAAAGTGTGAAGTGTAAGTCAGAGATATATATTCCTATAAGCAACTCATTGTCAGTATTTAAATTAATATATATGATATTTTTTTTCTGAAAAGAGGCCAAAAACAATTGGAACAAGGTATTAATGACAGTCCTCGTTGCAATTACGAAAAATGTTATTTATGCCTGGGTTAAAGTAGCATGACTAAAATATTTGATGTGCCAAACATGATTGAAACAGTACACAAGTCAAGCATATAGATGTAGTACACAAGGGCAAGATTTTCTTCAGTCGGCTATATTTGATTCAATTGTTAAACAAATTGTCATGGATATTAACATGTATAATGTATAAATAAAAGTAGAACGAAAACTGACAAAGCAGTTATGTGTATATATATCACATGCAAAGACGACAATACACACACTTGTCTGAACAAGAGTGCAATGTAAGGAAAGCTGAAACCTAAAACCTAATCGGTTACAAAGTTAATATTACATGAATGGCAAATACAATAAGAGTAAGTCACAATATAGAGTAAAAATTAGACAGACATAAAAAGATTGAACAGCTGGATCAATATTTGCACATTTCTTTCATTATTACAAAATGGCTGAAAAAGTATAGAATATAATATAAAAATCGTCTATCGTCAAACTGTTTTAAAGCTACCATCACCTTTTTATATTCGTGTGATTATAAATATCTTTGCAACATTTGTTTCAATATAGACCAGTTGCCCAATCCTGATTTCAAAATGGTCTCTTGACTGATTGAGTGTCACCTCAACACCCTTAAGTAAATTGAAATGAGGTCAATATGGCTGCTGTAATTTATGTGGGAGACATATATTGGCATCCATATATGACATGATCATGGGTATCTACGATTAGGTTTTAGGGCCAAATAGAGCCATTTATGTTTATTATAAATCCTGGATATGAGTTTACATGACCTTCCATGATACTCGTATTGCTCTTACTGAATTTACATATTTTAGTTTTGAGTTGTCAAGAAAGAAGAAATATAACAAGTTCAGCAATATTTGTGCGAAGGAATTCGGTCCTTTATTTTCTGTTTTACTGCGACCAACAATATTTTAGCCATATTCACACTTCATTGACACTACTACACACTGTTGCCACATTGGTATGCACTGTGGGGTGACATTTTATCACACACAATAACAAAACGCAAATATGTAATTAATAAATGTAATTATAATTCAATATATAAATATTATGAGGTTATTACGTGAATACCTCAAAGTATGCACGACGACAGTACATCTGAAGTATCGACCGACGCGTAGTGAGTGCATACTTTGAGGTATTCTCGTAATAAGGTTATTATTATACATCTTTTTCTCTCACGGATACACCTTCGGAATGCCGAAATCCAAAACAGAATCAGCGAACTTCTTTGTCTGTAGTCCGGTCAAACCCTGGCGGCAGCCACGTTTTTATTATTAGAGGACGCTTACGCGCATAATCATTCAATATTTGGAATTCGCAATTCCCAATAAGGTAGGATGAAAATACCCCGTAAAATACCGCAACATTACGACACGTTGTAACGTTACGGTGACAGATGTATAATTAAATATAACAAGTCAATATATGCATTCGAAGATACAAATAATTATACCCTTAGAGAATAATGGATACTCAATAAATAAAACTAATTCAGAAGGGATAGATGAACGAAATTCACATTTTTGAGTTATAAATTATCGCGTTGTGTTCAATCATACTTTGGTGCTTTATTCCTCGTATGATAATTGAGTCCATCAGATGGCAAGTCTATGGCAACTACACCAAAACGTACAAGGCAGTCCACCTTTTCAGCATACATCTCTTGCTCTCCTTTCTTTAAATTCCAGGTTTTGTTGTCACTACTTCAGGTGGTCACGGGCAGAAATGCTTTATATCCGTTAGCTTTATTCCGTTGAATAACGACATGGGAGAAACGCCAAAGGACCTGTTTTAGCCAGTATTCTTCCATCATATAAATTTCGACTTTAATATTGGACGTCTATGCAATAAATTTCTGACAAGTATCAGGAAATTGCACTGTGAACTGTTATAGAGCATTATTGGTGTTTAGGGGGCTATTGTGCGACATATTTATTCAGCAGATAGATCTATGTATGATAAGTTATTTTATTCACATTTCTAAAATGCCGCTCATTTTTCTTCACTTATCTAGAATGCCGTTCATTGTTTCAATAGAAAATATAATTATTTGTATAATTCATAACATTTTGTTAAGGTTTGCATTAAAAGTGCTTAAACATTAATGATGTGCTCATTGCATTTAAAGAGACACACTCATCTCCGTTTTATAAAAGATATGGTCTGAATATTGGTAAGCACATACCACAGGTGCTACATAAAGAAATTGAAATCCTAGACCCTCAGAAACTGGTGCAAACAAGCACTTCCTGGTTTTAGTAAATCAAAGATGGCGACCGAATGACGTCAAATTCGGATCGGAAACTTTGACGTTTTAGAGAACTGAATAAAGATTGTGTCTGTAAAGGTTCAAGTTAAGTGGGCAACCTGTCTTTGAGAAGAAGAGATTTGAAAATTTTCAACAAAAAAACGGCAGAATAAGAATAATAAACATTACTATAACAAAAGGCTTTCGATGCTGACAAGCCTTTTACTGACA